GCCTTCATCCAGGCGCAGGCGCCCGCGTTCTACCCTGGACCCTACTACACTCCCAACTTTGCGGGCCAGTACCCTCCGCAAATGTTCGACCCTTACGGACGTCCATCGCTTCCCCTACCGAGCTACGGCCTGCACATGGCGCCGTACTCGATGCCGGGCGTGATGCCTATCCGGCCCAGCAAGGACCAGGACCCTGGCAAGGGCGTCCGCAGCTTGCTACTGGAGGAATTCAGGTCCAGCTCCAAGTCGAACAAGCGATACGAGCTGAAGGATATCTACAGCCACATTGTCGAGTTCAGTGGCGACCAGCACGGATCGCGCTTCATCCAGCAAAAGCTCGAAACTGCAAACAGTGATGAGAAGGATCAGGTGTTCCGCGAGATTGAGCCCAACGCCATCCAACTGATGAAGGATGTCTTTGGCAACTACGTTATCCAAAAGTTCTTTGAGCACGGCAACCAGGTCCAAAAGAAGGTTTTGGCGTCACAGATGAAGGGCAAGGTTGTCGACCTGTCCATGCAGATGTACGCCTGCCGCGTTGTCCAAAAGGTGTGTGCATATTCGCGTAGCAAAGTGGACGAAGCTAACAATCACAGGCCCTGGAACACGTTCTCGTCGAGCAGCAGGCCGAGCTTGTGAAGGAGCTGGAGCCCGAGATCCTCAAGGTCGTCAAGGACCAGAACGGCAACCACGTCGTGCAGAAGATTATCGAGCTGGTTCCCCGCCAGTACATTGACTTCGTCATGGACGCATTCCGCGGCCAAGTCAGCCAGTTGGCGGCCCACATGTACGCCTGCCGGGTCATTCAGCGCATGCTGGAGTACGGCACAGAGCAGGACAAGGAGACCATCTTGGCTGAGCTGCACAACTCGACCCAGGTTCTCATCACCGACCAGTACGGCAACTACGTCGTGCAGCACATCATCGAGCACGGCATGCCTGAGGACCGATCGAGAATCATTCAGCTTGTCATTGCGCAGCTGGTCACCTTGTCCAAGCACAAGTTTGCGTCCAACGTTGTGGAGAAGTGCATCCAGTACGGTAACGCGGAAGAGCGCAAGGGCATTCGGGAGCAAATCATTTCCCAGGCGAGCGATGGTACAAGCTCGCTCCAGTTGATGATGAAGGACCAGTACGGCAACTACGTCATTCAGAAGCTGCTGAACCAGCTCGAGGGTGCCGAACGCGAAGCCTTTGTGGAGGAGATGCGACCCCAGTTCCAGACACTCCGCAAGACCAGCACCAGCCGCCAGCTCGCCGCCATTGACAGACTCATCTACGCGACGACGCAGACGACGCCGTCCAAGTCTGGGGGATCCCAGGCCGACACCAACTCGGCCGCGCCAACCCCGGTTCTGACTATGGAGCCCAACAGCCCCCAGAGCAGCAGCCCGCCCAGCACCAGCGCCAGTGCCGTTGGCGAAGTTGCCGAGGACGATAACAAGTCCAGCGCGCCCGGAGGTGTCAGCCTCAAGGTGCAAGTGGAGGAGGCCTGATAACAGTACTACACGAATCTTTTGCGATGACGGCGTCTACGGTTGCTTCGGACATGCATCACGACACCAAACGGACTTGACGATCCCGGCCCATGTGCCAGACTTGTTTAAAAGAGAAGAAAAAAAGACGACGAACACTGACCTAATTTTGTTTACACATACCTGATCTGAATATGCAACTCCAAAAAAAAAAATCACCCACATACATGGCTGGAACACGGTCACAACGGTAGAAAATCTGCTTGGACAAACATTTGGGGAAAGGCGAGGGTTCCCAAAACGGACATGATTCTCTGTTGCTTCTTCTTTTTTCGGTTGCAAAGTTTTCTGGACTTTTATTTTGCAAAGTAATGAGTCTGAGGTCTCTGGAGAGCCATTGGAAGGGTTTATCACAGGAACAATGGCTGAGCGATACGAACACGGAAAGCGGCCGGTTGGAATTTGAGGTTCCTATCGGGGGTTTGTCGGGTTTCCACCAAAGGGGGCATCGGGGCCGGTCATTTTGGGGCGCAGATGATATTTTTCGAGTCTTCTTGTATTTTATTGAATTATTCGTGTCTAGGCGATACCAGTCTTAGTCTGACGGATTAGACCTGTCAATAGACGTGAGAGTATGGACAGTTTCTGATGATTTGGCGACGTGTCATTGTGAGCATGAGGTGAGAGTAAGGGAGTCGCTTGAAGTCATTCAAGGGATTACCTGTTTGCGGTGTACAACATTCCCAATCACCTCGACGCCCAGTGTAAGCCAGATTGTGTAAGTCGTAGTCCTCGGCAGATTTTCCGCATCTTCGGAAACGGACCCGACAGCGAGGTCGGCATCGGGGTTACCTTGGACAAGCGGCAGGGGATCCACCCAATGACATCAGGGGGAAACAGCTCCCTCTAGACGCCGGCATTAAACGTCGGGTTCCTGAGCTTAGCCTTCCGACACACTGGACCCCGTGCCCCCCCACACGTACCATCGTGGAGATTAAACCTGAACGGGTGTATCCGCTGCCATTTTACTTTCCCATTTCCATCACCCCCCAAATTTCCCAATTCTTTTTTTCTCCCTACAAAACCACCACGACCACCACACACCTACACACATTTACACACACACACACGATGCAGCCTGCACGATTAACGTTTCTGTATCCGCACCTTTTCCGAACGATACGCCTCAGCGAGACAACGACGGCGACGACGAGCCGCGCGGCGTCGAAATCATGTCGGAGACGGGGACCCGCCGAGGCTCGGAGACGGGGGTACGCCGCGTTCGCGCCTACGCCCGGGGCGCAGCAGTCGGGTTTCGCGCCGAGACACGGAAAGGGGGTTGAGCCTGTGTCTGCGACAGCGACGACAACGACAACACCGGCGCCGGCGCCGGCGGGTGATGGAAAGGAGGCGAGTCCCGGGCAGGCTGCGGTCGGTGCGTCCAAGGGGGCGAGTGACGACGGCGTAAATCCCAAGACGGCGGCAGCTTCGGCGACGGCGACGGCCTCGAATTCGGCGGAGAATAGCGCGGCCGACGCTACGGGTGCCGCCTCTGGAGACCAACAGCAGCAGCAGCAGCAGCAACAGCCCGAAGAGGCGGAGGAAGCCAAAGCCGCAAAGCAGGAGGCCCGCGACCAGGCGAAGAAGAGCGGGCCCCTCGAGGCGATCCTGCACATGGGACCCCCCGAAGAGGTCGCCAAACAGCACCCGCACATGGCGCCCCCGCCCTACGTGCACCACTTTGACAGCTACTCGCTCGTAAAGGACCTCGAGGGCGGCGGGTACAGCAAGGACCAGGCCATCACGCTGATGAAGGCGATCCGCGCGATCCTGGCCCAGAATTTAGATGTGGCGCAGGAGAGCCTGGTGAGCAAGAGCGACGTCGAGAACGAGACGTACCTGTTCCGGGCGGCGTGCTCGGAGCTGAGCACCGAGGTGAAGAACAACCAGAAGCTGGCGGACGAGGAGATGCGGCAGAAGAGGACGCTGCTGCAGCACGAGGTCGATATCTTGACGCAGAGCCTGAACCAGGAGCTGCTGACGCTGAATGATAATGTGAGGGGTATGTTTAACGATCGCAAGATGGCGGTGAGGGAGGAGCAGAAGGCTGGTGATAGTGTGGTGAGTGCCCCTTTTGTTTTCTGATCCTTCTCGAAGATTGAGTATGGTCGTACTGATGGTGACCAGATCCAACAAATTAACTACAAAATCAGCCTCCACCTAAGCAGCGACGCAAAGTCCGAGATTGAGGGCCTGCGGTGGATCTTGATCCGGCGGTCGGTGATTGGGATCCTGTTCATGGCGGTGTTGACGCTGGGCACGCTGCGGTACGGGACGTACGTGAGCCATTCGAAGCAGGCCGAGGCGGAGAGGATGAAGAAGCAGGCCGAGATGATTAAGATGGCGGACGGGAAGAGGGATCATAGCTCTTCTCCTGATGCGGCGGAGATTCTGGCAGCGAATTGAGGAGGGCGTAACAGGTGAAATGAGCAGGAAGATGGAAGAAGGGGCCGTGGAGGAGGGAGAGGATCGAGGAGTGAGGAGCAGGTGAGAAGCGAGAGGGCGAGGTCGTCATATGAGGCTGGCGTGATAATACCCCATAGACTTGCACATTTAGAAATGGCAAGGTTGCTAAGTACCGATATTGCCAACGCGTGATGATTCCACTCTTAGCCAGCACGGGAGCTGCTGTTCCCAAGCAGCAGCTGGAAGCCTTATGGATGACTGCAGCAGTCCGACGACGCCTGGTAGGTGGCAACCCCGGTCCAACTCTTTGGGGGTAGGTGGCTTGATCACGCATGGTAGATTTGGCACATCCTTCCCCGATGAATGGTTCCTTGGTGCCCCCGTCGTTGCGTACATGGGACGGCAACGTGTTTGCTGACTTGGATACGAACCTTCAACCAGATCACCTTTCGAATAGTCCAGTCCGACGATGGTGGACTGTGCCGTGCTCAGGACATATGGGCAGCCCCCGCATGATATTCGGCTACTCCAAATTCCTGGAATGAAGTATGTGGCAGTATGCCAGTGGCTGGGGAGGGCAGAACCAACCAGGTTATGAACAGGTGAAACACCAACCAATCGAATGACCAACCAGCCAGAATGGCCAACCAGCCAGAATGGCCAACCAGCCAGAATGGCCAACCAGCCAGAATGACCAACCAACCAGAGTGTGAACAGGTGAAGCAGACTGGCAAGTTGAGGCTAACTGGCGACGCTGCCTATCTAAGTTGGACCGACACATAAGGCTCAGACCAACCGACCGTGATTGGACGCCATTTGATGTACCTTTCGGAAGGGATATAGAAATTCAATTCACGATCCTCACCTGCCTTCCTTACCTGCAGCGTTGATTCGACTATAAATGATGGCGGGCCGTATCATCAAATTTTCTCGCACGAAGAGGGCAGATACGCCAACTCTAGCTTACAACCTCGTTCCGCTGATAATCTTCAATTTGGCGGTCTTAGTATATGATTTAATAAGGGCGATACTTCGTAGAATTGAGGAGACAGCATCACAATGCCTGTTGCCCGAGCTGAAGCACCCTCTAGGTTCTATTGCAAAGAACCCAGTTGCGACCGCACGTTTTCCACTCAATCCAATCTCAAAAGACATGTCCAGTCAAAACATGGCACGCCGGTTCAGATGCCTTGCGGCAAGGACCTACCAAACCATACGTCGAACACAATGCGCCACCAGAAGTCTTGCGGGAAATGTTTCGCCGTCCTCAGTCAGCACTCGGCCCCTCGGGACCCCAATGGCACCGAAAGCCCTCCAATTTCAATCAGCCATGCCGCTGCGGAGTTCGGTTTCAATCTCGACGCCTATACGGGGAACTTCAATGACATGGAATTTCTCACGGGTGACTACACCTTCGAAATCTATTAAGCAGGCGGTTCTTCAGGATGCGAAAGACTCCGAGAAAGTCTTCTTCATGTGTGTAAAGTAGCCGGGGTGGCATTCGGCACCGGGCTTACCCACGACATGAACTCTTGGCAACGATTATTTTCCTAAGTTGAGATTATTTATTAGGCGTTTGATTGATAGTTGGAACTTGGCGAAGAGCTAGCATCTTCTTGCGTGACGACCTTGTGTGAGCAGACTCGAGCATAGTCTGCTTCTCTATTTCAATACACTACTTAATTACCCATCGAACCAAATTATCGCAACCCAAACCACAATAGCGGACGACTCAAAGATTTCTGTACTGAGTTAATATCGTGCAGTAGAAAACATAGCCTGACACGTACACGGATATTTGAGGAAATCGCAACAGGATGACTTGCCCTGGCCGAGGGTTCGTGTAAGTGAGGTGGGGGCGGGGTCTCGGTGAAGCACGATCGGGTCTCGGTCAATGTTCGGATGGAGTACCCGTTCCGCCGTATCGATCCATGCCCACAGACACAATTACAGTCGGATGGTTGATCTGTTAGCAACGGATGAGTTCAAAGAAGGACTCAAGACGACGGCACCGTTTCCCTGCTCCTCAACCTCATCATAGGTGCTTTTGCTTCTCCGGCGACGAGGTTGGCGGGTGAATCAACATGCTTTACCTCTGAAAGAATACATGCAGGTCTTGATGCAAGGTTTTTATCTTCTGGGAAGTAGGCCGAGGGATGGGCGAAGGCTTATTGGTAACATATTCAGAGACTTGGCAATTTGCTTTCTTTCAAGTTGGCGGGCCGGAAGAGGAATTTGATTTCGGCGCCTGATTTGGCTTGAGAAAGCGGTAGGAGACTGCGGAGGCCGGGGCGGAGGCGGCATGGGGGAAGTGGGACAGGGGAGGGGGCGTAGACGGAGAGAGGGCAGTAGGAGGTACTCAGGAGGAGCGAGCAGCAAGCGAAGCGCAAGTGAGGAGCGAGAGGATGAGGCTGTCTGATGTGACTGGTGTAATACCCATAAACTTACATAATTGAAAATGACGTAGAATCAAGGAGGTCTTCTGTTCCCAAGCTGGTCATCGCGACATGAATCTTTCAAGCCAAAACGGTTCAACCCACCGACTATTAGATGGAAACAACATCGAAGAGTCCAGGCTAAGGCGCCTGCCTATATGGTCATCTGCTCTGTCATTGGCTTGAGGCTTCGATCTGCCTTACTACGTAGACCAAGTACGTGAAGAGCGGTTGCTACTGACGAATCGATCGGTAGCCGGTACCCGCCTTTGCAGAAGAGGGGCAGCGGGACAAAGTCATCTCATTGGATCTCGCGGAGGTCGGTACCTTGTCCAGGTCAGTTTAGTGCGTGGAAGGTGAAGGTGACAGGGGGGTTATACCAGGCCTGTGAGACATGCTATGCATGTCTAGGTCGTTGACATGTTTTGTCTAGGTAGTTGATGTTGAAGCCTGGCCCAGCGAATAGCAGAACAGAGAGTTTGCCAAGCCAATGACTTTCATCGGTCCCTGATGGGGAGGCTCGCGATCCTCACTTGACTTTCAAGACGTCGAACACATGTATAAATGATGGCCAAGTCATCAGCTTTTCACTGGCGAGAAGAACAGACACGCAACATCCAGCTTCCAACTTCGTCTCCCGTCTACAAATCGATAGCCCTCATCTTTGATTGTCTGGTTCCAATAGAAGGGAACTGCCAACATCATCATGTCTAATAAGGCATCGAGACCCCTCTCCAAGCTATGCTGTCTAGAGCCTATCTGCGCAATGAGGGTCTTTTCCACTCAATCCAATCTTAACAGGCACATGAGGTCCAAGCATGGTCCATCAGTTCCTGTGTTCTGCGGCAAATTACTACCAAACCACTCGTCGAACGTCAAGCGCCACATGAACACTTGTCAAGACTGTCTCGCAGCTATGAAACTCATGATGAATATCATGGCAGACAACGTTGCAGGGGACCCTTAGTCGGTGGAATATTTGGGGTGCAGTGCAGTTGGGGAAGTCGAGTCTGTGCCTATGAATGGTGGGGGCAGCTGTTGGCACTAAACTTACCAACGACATGGAGCCTTGGATGGGGCCTCTCTTTTCGTCCCCTCCCGTCAGCTTGGAAATTTCTATTGCACGCCTCCTCGGTGCCTCTCGAGGGGAGAACTTGCCATTCTTGTGTGCCGGACGCACGTGAGAAGACGGAAACACGATTTTCCACATCTGTCAATGCACTACGTACCTTACAACGTGTATATGCATCAAGCGAATTGCCGTATACCAAGCCAAAAAAGAGCCTCGAGGCGATATGAACGCTCCAATTTCTGTGCTGGCGTAAATGTTCAGAGTGAATGCCTAGCATAGTCTAGCATTCGACGGGCAACGTGAAACGGAGGCGAACATTGTGGCTGGCCGTGACAGAGCGGTATGAGTGAGGTAGACGTGAAGCCTCTGTGAGGTCCAGGGTGTGCTGAGAATTTGGTGGCCGTGGCTCATGTGGCTAAGTATTCTACCCTAAGTTCATCCGTATCACTCCATACAAGCTAGAGGGATCGGTAATTATAGTTAGGTGCCTGGTGAGGTTCTCGAGACAGAAATTAGGGACAACCTATGACCGATACGGCAAGATAAGACATCGTGGAAGACGGCTTTCCAATGGACTTGCCCGGGCTACGGGACGAAGAAGGTAGTGCTGCATAACGACAGGGAGCCCTTGTACGACGGCGGCCTTCATGGAGGGTTGAATCGACATTTCATTGGGCCCCATTCTCCGTCGTCTGTGGTGGAAAACGCTCTGGCGTACGGATACAAGGACGCAACTCCTCCAGACTGGACAAAAATGGCCCTGTGTTATAAGTGATGTACAATGTCCGCGAATGCGCTTTTTGGGCGGGATCGCCAACTCAAAAAGAGGCGATCACCATGTTGTAAGGAAGGGAAAACGCTCTTGATCCTCATGTATCGAGAACGGCTGAATATAAGAGGATAATGATTTCATCAGCTTTGCTGAAGATGGCAGCAGACACACGAGTTCTCCTTCTCAATTTCTTAATACCACATCGATAGGCCCAGTCACTGATCTCTCGAGTCCCGTGGCAGCAAAACGCCTCAAACACCATGTCCGACCAGGAGGCTAGGTCCGTCTCCAAACTAGCTTGCGAGGAGCCCGGCTGCAACCTCAAGACTTTCTCCACTCGGTCCAACCTCATCAGGCATAATAAGTCTAAACACGGCCAAAAGGTTCGAATGCCTTGCGGCAAGAACCTACCAAACCACGCATGCAACTGCCGACGTCATAAGAAATCCTGTCAAAAGTGTCGTGCAGCTCTTGTCCAACCCTCGACACCAGAAGTACACGACAATCTCGGGCCCTCTATTCATGCCACTGAGATCACGACGTTCGATCTCGCCCTCGAAACCTACGCGGGAGGCCCCGACGCCATGGGTGATATCATGGACGGCTTTTATTTCGAAGCCCACCCGTCAGAGAATCATCATTAGGACTTCAGAATCTGGAACCGCTGCTCATCTTAAGTACGCAGAAAAAGTACGACTCAGGGCGCAAATCATCACGGAAGAGGGAATTGAGACTTGTGTGCTGAGATTGTGGCCATTTCACGTCACGGGGGAGAACCATTCATTCCATTTGTAACTAGGAAGCAAGGCTTGTGTATGGGCTCCGTAGCCTAATGAATATGGATGTCTATCGATCTTCATACGCTTGACCAAATATCGGGTGTGATAAGATTCATTTTCAATGCATTTACAAGCTCTCATTATAATGAAAGAAAACTGAGAATGAGAAGATGGCTCTTAGCAGTGTGTATGAATTCCCGACCGAAAGCCCGTGTAAGTTAGGAAGGTAGAGTTGGAGTGTGGTGGGGTTTCGGTGCACCTGCGCTGGAGAGGCACAGCGATCCAATCCCCAGTGAGATAGGGCAGCCACGTTCGTGCCACAGACAAGCTTCTACAGTGGAGAATTACCCGGCACAGATGGACTGGCAGAGCCTAGCCCCCGGAGAAAATTGACTGTTGTCCACCAGTCTAGCAACATTGAGGTTTCCAAGCCAACTAAATGCCGCTTCTTTCGCCCATTGGATATCTCTGTAGCATGTTTCTGACTTCTATCGTTGGCATATTTCCATGGATCGCTGACAGAGTAAGGACCAGAGTTTGAACGTGTGGTAGTATAGTTGGTAGTTAGCCAGGGGTCAGATAGCTATATCGTGCCAAGCACGCAACCTCATCAACAGAACTTCCGACACCGCTTTCCCTTTTATTAACAACGTTTCCGGCAAGGCGGCTAGAGTCGTAAGGAAGACAGGACGCAGAAAAAGGTGCCGGTAGCTAGCGATAGGGCACAGTGCGTACCCTTACACAATCATGCCCATCTACCTTAAGGTTGTCTCTCCTGCGACCTCTGTACCTTAGACCCAGGCTTGCCGGCACATACCTTCGTACTGACGTATGAGGTGAGTTTGGGTGAGTATGTCAGATGTGGCTGGTGTGATATGAGCATGCACATGGCATGTGAGCCTTTAAGTGACAGCACCAGCCACATCTAAAGCTCGCCAATTCGATCGAAAGCTTGGCTTGTACTCAACACGGTCCAGTCCGGTGGTTGCCATTCATAAGTAACGACATCAAGACTCGGGATTCCAGAGTATGAAATTTGCTATGTGGCAGCCGGTAGCTTAGTCTACAGTGACGCTTCTTGTCATGTTTCTTGGTTCCTGACCTCAGGCTACGGATTTGCTTGAGCGAGGTGGGCCACAGCGTTACCTAGTAGAGCTCTCGAGGCACCCTTACATGAGCGAGGCACTCTTGCGAAAGGTATTGGCTCGCAAGGCTCGGTAACTCTGTTGGAAAGGTTCCCGAGTCCCAGCAGCTCCCGGCGTTTACTCTTGTCACCAACATTCGGTCCCATGGCAACCCAATCAGGAGTCCGACGGCTGGAGCTGTGACTCGAGAGCATCGCACGGGTACGCTAGATCACGATGTCCATCACTGCACCCCTTTGAGCCTCAGGGGCGTCCTGGATGCGTCTCATGTCGCACGAGCTTCTGGGTTCGTTCTGGACGATACCCTGCAGCAAGCCGAAAATTGAGATCCAGCGGCCAGGAACCTTTCGAGCTCGCCAATATGGAGGTATTCTGTTTGACTTTGACTTGAGAGGCATACTTGGCGTATCCACCCAGAAGGTTGAGGGGCCATCTGTTTGTCCGCTAGTGCTGAATGGGCCTGGGTCGGAGACCTCTTTTGAAAGGCATGGGTGTGAAGCATAGGATTTGGAAATGAGCGGTGGGGGGAGGTTGGTCCTTTTCCCATCAGAGTTAATATCTGATTGGGTGACAACAGTAACAACAATCACGTGGCAGCGTGAATCTGGCAGGCTTGTGTACATTTATTTCGTCCTCCGGATGGGATGTATGCCACTCCTCGAATCCACGACTCCCAGAAGGTAAGGGCAGACACACACCCCCGGGAAGGCACCACACACACTCCCGGGAAGGCACCACACACACCCCCCGGAAGGCGTTACACTCCCCCCAGAAGGGTTACATTCCCCCCCAGAAGGGGAGGGGAAACTCGCGCAGCACACCCCCCCCCGCCAGAGACAGCTTTTCCTTTCTCTCTTGCCGAAGAATCCCGCGAGAGCAAAAGAGAGAGAAAAGTGCATTCCACCTGTGGCACTCAGCAAGATTCGATACCCTTCAGACTCGCAAAAGGCAGTATATATAAAGCATGGCTGTCACCAGCTTTCCTAGTGATAGAAGCGGGTGAGCAGCGTCTAGCTTTCGACCTTTTCTCTCCATTCTAGATCAGCAGTCCTCATATTTCATGCCCAAATAGCAGCGGGCGACTCAAGATGCCTGTTCTCAAGGTTGTAGTTACCCCAAAGTTGCGCTGCGAAAAGTCTGGCTGCGAGCTCACCAAATTTACCACTCGATCCAATCTTAAGAGGCACACCCAGTCCAAACACGGCACTGCCATCCCCATGTCCTGCGGTAAAGCTCTTCCAAACCATAAGTCAAACATAAAGCGCCACCAGAAGTCATGTGGGAAATCTTGTATGGCTCTGGACCAGCTTTCTGCCCCCACTGAGCAAGTCAGCTTCGAATCACCTACAAGTGCGACAACCGCTGCCACTGAGACCACGAACTTTGATTTCGACTACGGCTTCTATCCAGAAGAGACCGGCGAAATGGACTTTCTCATTGCCGACCTCCCTTTTGGGGATCATTGGTCAGAATTCCCGCCCCTAACACGACCGAGTCTCTCAATGACTGATGAGTGTAGTCAAGTAAGACGTGAGCACGGAGCTCCTCACGAGGAGGAGCAGCCGCGGGAACTCTGAAATTGACAGGGGACTTGGGATGAACCGTGGTCGTCCGATACCCCGTTCAGAGTTGGCTTTCTTATGTGTAACTACGTTTTACCCAATCGTTCTTTGAAGACACAAAAATACAATTCTGCCACTTGCAAAAGACTGGATAAGCTAACAAAGGCTTCGGCACGCCCCGGTGACTTGATGTATTAGTGAGCCCCACCAAATAAGAAATCGGGTCACCATCCAACGGCCGGTCTAAGACCAGGTAGGCCCGTGTATGTGACGTGGACCCCAGCATCCACCAGCGAGAGGTGAGCTCTAAATTTGTCATCGACCCTTAACGTCAGATTCCGACAGCTTGTGTGCGGGTGTTCGTAGTTGAGGAACGACGTCCTTAATTTGCATGCGCTCTTACTAGAAGCAATTATTTGTACTAATATACAGTCATCTGGGGGACTGCAATCACCTCTCCTACGGCAAATTTGGGTGCAAAATGTTACAGATATTCCAGTGGGGAAGAAGTCCGGTACCAGCCAACAAGGCTTCGGATACAGGCTTATACCGCAGTCTGATGTTGTATGGAAGCTTCCAAGCCGTCCAGCCTGCAAGTTAGGTTCTTTATGGCAGCAATTGATTCAGCCGAAGATAAGATGATAGATAAGAAACACAGGACTCGAGGAGAAGCTGGCGAAGTATTAGTACTGCTGCGCATCCCGACGAATACCTCCCGCCGGCCTGTGAGGTCATTGGTGAAGTGGTGGGGTTGGCTGGCTTGGCATTCTCTTGACAACCGTGGACGATGCGGTTGTAGGTGCCGCCGGCGCCGGTGCTATCCAAAAACCTGACATTGGAGGCCAGACACTAACCAGGTACGTAGATGAGCAGAGCGTTCGTGTCAAGTGCAAATTGTAACCGCTTCCCCAAGACCGGGCATGCGACGTCAGGTGTGGGGCCGAGTCCTCATAACTTCAGGTGCACCCTCTTCTTCTATCGTAGCCCAGCACCAACGAAATGATCGCCACACTGAGGACCTGATGTTGGCAGGTTTCACATATTTTCGTTCTCTGAACCCACGAAGCCATTGAAGTTGACTTCACACTGAGGACTGGCAACAACCAGGGGCTATAACCTTGTCATTTCCACTCCTACGAAATCTAGCGGAAGCACCGCTTCGTACGTCTACCTATCGTCGAGAAGATGTCCTTGTCATATGATGGTTTTTGAGGCGTCTGAGAATGTTGACGTTCCATTCAGCGTCTGGCAAACGCGGCATCCGAAAGTAAGGGTTGCTTTAGCCTGCAACTTTACAACAAGACTATATAAGTAGTGACGAAAGAAGGGGTTTTTGTATTCGTTCAGTTCGATATTTTCTCTGTCTTTTATGTCATTTATTGCCGTATTCCACCTTCAACGAGACCTCGTCGTTGCGATTGTCGAATGCACGATGTTCCGACTGTGTAATGAGAGAATCGGCGTCGACACATCAGAGACATATACGCACGCAATCACAAAATCCATCCCAGCATCGGAGAAGCGCTCCTCAACATCTGGATGTAAAAATGACCAGAATCAGAGGTGCGATTGACCCAGTGCTGCGTGGTCCCCCATGCAGTCCTCAGCTGGCGAAACTCAGGGGTTGAACTTCACTTCGAATGGTGTGGCTTCCAGGCAAATCATTCCAGCATCAGATTTGTGCAATCCTCAGGAGTCTGCATCTTGTCATTGGGTCTGACTGCGCACTCTAGTCCGATCCTCACCAGGCTTTGCGCGGTTGGCTCCTTTCCCACGTCCGGTCAATCGCATACCTACGTACCATGAGGGAACCCATTGCGGCTATAAGGCCGTGACCATAGCCAGCCATAGCTTCAATTTGATTCCCATTACTTTCTGATACTCTGTCCATTCTTACTACTGTCTTTTGCACTCAGTCATCAAGTCATTCCTTAATCCGTTGTTTGAGGTAGCCTAATCTTCTGTTTCTCCTACCTGCAGCTGGCTGCATTCGACACCCCAAAAAAGACTCCAGCACCGCCAGTGGCCTATCATGCCTACCGAGAAGAAAACCCCGAAAATATCTTTACTCGAGTGTGGACATCCAGACTGCGGTGGCAGGAAGTTCAGCGATCAGTCGAATTTCAACAGACACCAGAAAAGCGTCCACGGCGACGAGGTCCTGATGTATTGCGGCAACTCCATCAGAGATCGCTCTGATAACATAAAGCGGCATCAAAAGAACTGTGGAGTTTGTAAGCAAACCCTGGGGACACCTCAGATCGCTGTTGGCAACGAATCTGGGCCAGAGATAACGTCCAATGTCAACATTCAGGGCGCTGAACCTCAGTACGCCGGCGTCCCACAAAACAGCTATCAGCAACTCTGGATGCAACCCTTTCAGGAGGGCCAACAGCATGGCTATCGCGACGGCTGGCAGACCGGCTGGCAATACGGCCAGGATGCCTACCAGTCCGGCTACACGTATGCCTACCAGTATCTCCAGCAGAGCCAACAGCAGACTACACAGCCACTGGACGGTCTTCAGCAAAACTACCAAGGCGGCTACCAGACTGGTTACCAGCTTGGCTACCCGGAAGGCTACTATAATGGGTACTACCAGAGTCATTAGCATCACGACCAGCATCGCGGCTAGCATTGCAACTAGCATCACGATCAGCGTTACGACCGGCATTATGACCAGCATTATGAGCAGCATTATGAGCAGCATTAAGACCAGCATTATGACCAGCATTACGACCAGCATTACGACCAGTATCACGAACTGAATGACGATCGGGACGGCCATCAGTAAATGGGGCAGGCCTCCATCTACTGAGGCTTTATTTCCCGATCAGTAGTTGAAACGGCCTTCCTAGCGATCAAAAACCAATTTGTGTGGACATTTGGAGATGCATACGCGCGGTAGAATGGAAAGGAATCAGATTCGCATACAGAGGCATTGTCGTTATCATTGCATAGCCGTGCGTCTTTTATGGTATATCATTGTTTGTTACGGGAATTTTTGGTTCACCAGGATTTGACATCGATAATGAATACTTGTTTCCCCCTAGAAATACCATGGTGCAGTTGCGGGTGACAAAGCATATCCTCTTCGATTCGTGTGAGATATTGCGAACACGATCGGCGAAACTATAATTTGATTCTCTCCATCTAACTTGAATCAAGAAGCCTTCCATAGGGTACTCAAATGGCCCAGTGTCTCCCTACGTTGTGTAGCGTTAGCCTCGGAATCCACCAAATGCGGCCTACGTACTCCGTAAGCACGAAGGTGGTTGAACTGGAAGAACCTTAAAAGACAGGGGATCTAGAATCCGAGGATGGGACGGGACGTTTCCAGCGCTAGGGTAATCCACATACAGGGGGCCCCTGCGGGACACACCCGGACACGCACGGACACATCATGGGTCCAGGATCAAGTGAATGGTTGTGATTAAACCGCGTCTTCTGGTCGTGCCATCGTGTCAGCAGCTTTGTTTTTAGCTCTTCTCTCATCTCAGACTTTCGGTACCATCACTATCTCCTAGACGTACTGACTATAGAGCTTGACATCCGGCATTGCGATGATGCGGTCATCCTAATGGACAGGATTAATGCAAGGCAGTAGAGGCTCTCCAGGATGCTCGCCAAGTAGAGCTTCACAAGATTCATTCTTGGATTCTTTACTGTACTCTGATATCCGCGAGGGGAAACTACCAACAACAGCGCGAACCAGAATGAGTGAAGGAATACTAGCAGATGGTATACAGACTAGACAATTTGTCCCCCTCTCCGTGGCATCACAATGGTTACATGCCAGCGTTCTTGGTCTCGCTGACCTCCAGAATATTTTGAAAAACAGACTGAAGGGTCTTCTCCAAAGAAAGCTTTCTCTCTCGAGGCCAGTCTGGTAGTCTTGACTCAAAATCCAAGCCCTGATACTGCAGACGGCTGTCTTTGATGTGTTAATGAGATCTTTGGAAATTATGTTAAGTAGCAAGGTAAGACGCGCCAACCCATAAGAGGCTTGATATATCAGTTGTCTGCAAGGGTCATATTACGCCAAACAACCTGTCCACTCAGCCTCGTGGACCTCACGCCACCAACTCAGGTAATCGCAGCGTTCATGTCAAGGAGGGCGAGAGAAGGTAAGAAAAGTGACATGCGGCGGTTTCCTTAGCTCAGGCGGATACATACGAAGCTAGGTAAGCAAGCGGTCCTCCCCTCTGTGCCCACACTGCCATTGGTCGTTGCATATTTCCCATTGTCGATGATGGCTGCGGCCGCAATTGTAACCAGTAGCAATGAGCCGCCAACCCCCTAATAGAAGGTCTTGGAAGGTCTCATGGCTTTTTCTTTTGGAGCGAAAGGCGATGGGGCGGATCATAGTATCTTGGATGCGGCACTGAGAGCCGTCACCGGCGGTGCACAACTTTGAATTGACACCCACATCACCAGCAAATGGTATACCTCCTCTTTCTATTGAAAGTTGTTAATGACTGATGGTAGCGTCTTTGTCACTCCCTCTACGACATGGAGACTCGCACTCCTCAATTCTCTAGGTATATAAACAAGTGCGAATACGTCCACCGATTTCCTTTTGAAGATGGAGATGACACACCAAGCTATTCTTCTACCTGAGTTTTTAGATCAAGATCAACGACCCTACTTATTCTCTGAGCCGGCGGAAGCAAAAAGCTTATTTCACCATGCCTGCCGCAGATACTAAGGCGAAGTTGCGCTGTGAAGCACCCGGCTGTGTCAGAGCCTACTCGAGTCCCTCCAACCTCAAAAGACACATCAACTCTAAGCACAGACAGGCTGTTCAGATGTCATGCGGCAAATCCTTTCCGAACCACCAGTCTAACATCAAGCGCCACAAGAAGACCTGTGGCTGCACGGTCCTAGTTCAGCCTCTAGTTCCCGCTGGAGGGACTGACCCTGGCATACCTACGACTGCCACCGCCAATACGATGACGACGCCGACCTTCGACGATACTTTCGATCTGATATTGAATGACTTGAAAGATGCTTACCATCCCGTGGACAACAACTTATTCGGGCAATTCCAGTGAGAAAATTGTCAGTTGGGTTGCGATACCGTACGGCTGGTACCTACCTAACTTAAGTAAGCTACTCAAGGCTGGAGAATCCTTGGTGGGATGCCAGACCACAAAGCTGAATGTCAGCATGAGCAACAACAGCTAACTCAAGACCAGGGACTCTCGCATCCACACTTCCCTTGACCTGAAGGCTTTTACAAAACCACCGAAGTTCTTCAAGGTGGATCCGCCGTACTTTCCATGCTTCGTTGCGTAGCAAGCGGTCTGCCGATTTCCTTTGGGGGTCATTGGGGTGCTGTGTCTCCGAAGCATGAAGCTGATGGTTTATCGGTTGATGGGGCTATTGAGTTTAAGACAATAACAATCTTCGCATTTCTGAGTTTCCGTCAAAGTCTTGAAGTAACTGAAAGAAGATCCAGACTGCCTTACTCTGATACAGCTGGTTCTCAGTGCTTGGGATCCACAGTCCATGTAAGTGCCTGGTGGGGTGATCGCTTACGTGATTGATCTACCCCGCCATTTCATCGTTCGGCCGCCCGGGATACAGACCTCAGACAACAAGCTTCAGATTCTTACTGTACTTGTGCAGCATATAGCTTCAAGTGCAATGATGGCTTCTCTGTATCAGTGATCGGTGCGAACGAACTTGAGAAGGGATGGTCATTGAAGCTCCTCGTCAAGAGAGAACGTTCCCGCCGATGTCATTCCCAACAGGGGCGGCTCATGCACAAGGGTCCCTGGCAAAAATCCTATCAGGGGTCACCTGAGAAGATCAGATGAATGCCGGTGGTCTGGTAAGAAGGCTGATCAGATTCGGAAGTTTATCCAGACGAGTGCTTCCAGAATATGGGTTGCCTCCCGCTTTCCTGGCTTCGGGAATTGTCCCGAATGAGATCGGGCTTTGAAAAAAGCCGCAGGATACGATATACTCATGATACGACAACACGCCAAGCATGATACTGGTATTATGCCCTAGACTGGGGCTAAGCCCGATAGAGTAGGATAGCACGACAGCCGTGATATGAAGGAACATCAACTAACATCATAATGGAGAAGAAGGACTGTCCAGTGTTCTTGATGTAGAGTTTATTAGGATTAACTATTGAAACTTTTGTTGTACTCCATCAACCAGGAGGTAGACCATTATTATCAGTCGTGTCGGAACTCAGACCAAAGACAATGCCAGAGTTGCTATCGTGTGGTTATTGCAGAGCCGATCATGTAGCTCGAGCTTCTCTGCACAGCCGAAGCTGGGAACCAGTGAGCTCTTTCCATGAATGTCTTAGGCCCACTCGCGGTACACATCGACAGCCTCACAGGTAGGGTTGGAAGCCGGGCCGGCGGTGATCCAGACGAGGGAGCGGTAGTAGTAGTTGCCGACAAAGGTGTAGCAGACGTGCCATCGGTAGTACGCCTCGTCACCATAGGGAGCTTGCGAGCCAGCGACGGCCTTGGAGTCGTCCGCGCGAGAGTAGATGAAGAGCTTCTCGTTCTCGTCAAAGCCGAGGGTGAAGAGGGCGGTGTTGCCGGGGGAGAAGATGGGAATGGCGCCGTTGCTAACGATTTGCAGGTTGAGCATCATGCCTGAGGAGACTGGGTCGCCGTTGCCGATGGGCTGGTTCCAGGTCAGGGCGCCGAGGAGGTGGCCATTGTAGTCAGACTGGGTCTCGTTGAGGAAGTAGTTTGTGTGGGTCGTGGGGCGGTTGGCTTCCTGGACGGGCTCCGTGGTCTCGGGGCAGAGACCAGCTTGACCGGCGCCGGAGTGGCACGAGGCGAGGTAGGTCTCGCCGGAGCCGCCGGTGCAGGGGGTGAACTTGAGCCAGAAGGGTCTGGTCTGGTTGGTGAACTGGGCAGAAGCCAGAGTGGCACCCAGAAGGGCGATGACGTGGGCGGCCTTCATGTTGATGTTCGGTAAGGTGGTGATGATCTTGGTGGTGAAGAAGTAGTAGTTGCTGATGCTGATGATGATGCCGATGAAGACGAGACGAGCCCTGCCTTTATACCTCAACTGATAGAAGGCGTCAGTACATTCGTCTCCGGTCTAATTCATGGGCAAATGCAAGGGAAGTAGGGGACAGTGATTGTCGGAGACTATTCACGTACCTTGAAAGATTTGAGAAATGATGTTGGACACCTTGAGGTTTGGATACGACGTTTGGTGATGCGGGATCTAACCAAGGACGGATGAGATGAGGTTGTAGAAGAGCGGGGTGGCGCGGTTTATATTAAGAGAGACAACTCTGACGACCCTTCTTGCTGCTTCCGGTTCAGCCAGCCTTCTTTCCCGGAGAAACCCTGCTGTCCCTCATTCTTTCCATATGACGGATGATCATGTCGGAAGGATCTGGCGGGAGGGGAGAAAAAAAAAAAAAAAGAGGCGGTCGGGGGAAGGCGGAACCCCGCTAAACATACACGAGCTCCTTAGCCGCATCGTAAAGTTGGTGTCACTTTCCAGGGTGACATGGACGCAAACTAGCAAACTAGGAAGTCTCAAAGGAGCACTGGTAACGTGGTGTCGATCACCGCCCACAATTCGGCTCCGTTGATGGGCACGGAGCTAGCGCAAACGAGCCAGTAAGGGAGGATGCTCCTGTCCTCTGTGAAGCAAGAAATCTGGGGAAACAGCTGCTTCGTCTGATTCTGATCGTCCTTGTGTTTGTTCATAGGGTTGCACCGGGTCTGTCACTCCAGTCAGCCCTCCGTGTACTCCGCCCCGGCAGTGACTGCTCACATTATCAGAACAGCGATACCAAGCAGTCCCACAGAACTGACGATGTTGACGCTTGAGTTTCCCGGCGCAGGATACCCCACACCAAGCCACGCAAACTCTACGCGGGTTCAGATTTCCAAGTTTCCGGCCGTGGGTCAATCTGAAGTAAATGAACGGAAAAGAGGAGCACACGTGGTCTAGAACTATGGGCGGCAGGGCTCGAAGGGAAGCAAGATGTTTGCCTCAAAAAGAAGCTTCACAAGAACCCCACGTTTCCTGCATCGTGGGAATTGAGTTCAAAAATGGCGCTCCCCAAGGCGGGACGGAACGACGCCACACGCACGTCATAGATGACGGTGGTACGGGTTGGGCTTTTCGAGGCTGAACTGTCAGGTGCAACCTTGCAATATCAGGGTGTTTTCAATATGGTGATGCGAGACATTGCGGAAATCCGCTTCAGACTTTGATGTCTTTGATCACAAACTTGTCCCGAGTCCTAAGAGTCATGCGAGGGATTAGTAAGGGCAGAGCTGAATCCCATGTGTAAGTGAGACATGACGTTGGAACCAACGCGGACGTGCCGGCGGGCCGGTTAGGCATCTTGGCTCACTCTTTGACTTGGGTGACTTGGTGGTGAGAAAATAGTCGCGACGAAAGTCAACAGATACGAGAAAAGGGCCGCTTCCAGCTTGACAGGATCAGCATACCCCAGGCCGGAGAATATGGACTTCCACTGCATGATCTCCCACGTAGATGGCATTTTGTCATTGATCCTGCACGCCGGCAAGGTTGATCTCGAGGCCGTTTGCTGACTGGAGACTAGCGGGGGTTGAGGCCTTACTAGATGCGGACGAGACATCAACGCCGCCATCCTGGTTAGGGAATCATGCATGCCGAAAGGGCCGATGATGGGGTGTGCTGTGCGGGTTCGTGCAGGTTACGTTGCTTTTGTGACAAGATGCAGTGGAACTCCGATACGAGGTTGGGCCAGGAGGGTCATTTACACGTTCAAATGCTTATGTATGGAAATATCTACAATGAGAATGCGCAATGCGTCAAATCTTCCGTTTCTCGTCTATGTAGTCAGAGATACCCTCTGACCGCAGACGCCCGAGCTGGCAATCGAGTTCAGGTCCCTGGGAATGACTCCGGCAATAACACCGTCTACATCCTTGTTAGCATACACATCATCAATCACCATAAAGGAAACTCACCTCTGTAGGACCACCGGTAATCACCAAGCTGGGCCTTCCACGTCCAAAACACCCAGCCGGCGGTGTTCTTCTCGTAGGCGTGGACTTGCGCAGCGAACCACTTCTTGTAAAAGTCCTTTTGCGTGTCGCGGTTCCAGTCGTCCGAGTTCTCAATCTCGTCGGGCGGGCTGATGCTCCACTCACCGACAATCGTCGGACCCGAGGCGTCGCCATTGCGGTTGTCGTTGCACGACGTCGAGATGTAGCTGTCGTGCGTCCAAGGCACGTCGTTCTTGTTGGCCCACTTCAGGTAGCGGTGGTCGTCAAACGCGGTGAAGTAGGTGTCGTCGAGGAACTCGGTCGGGTTGCCGGAGCCCCAGAGCGAGGACATCATCTGGATGTGGAAGTAGTTGTTGGCGCTGACGCCGAGGCTCTTTTCGACGTTGCGGATGGCCTGAGGGTGTTAGTGAGGTGGACGAAGTGCAGACTTTGGTGACAAACATTGTAGCCGTTCTTGTAGAACGTGCTGCGGAGAGACTGCACGGAAGAGTCCCAGTTGGTGGGCTCGTTGACGAGTTCGATCGTGCCGACGTTGCGAAGCTCCTTGTTGTCGTGGGCAAGCTTCCTCAAGAACTCGAGGAACTTGACAGCCCGGCCGTATTGGTAGTCATTGTAGAAGCCAGGGGTGTTGGCGAACTGGATGCGGTTAGACGACGGTTGTAAGTCTAGGAACAGGGTGTCTTACTTGACCAGTAAACGAGTTCTTCGCCACTTGAGCACCCGGGGCACCGTGCTGGCTTCTTGTTGTTAGTTTTTGGAAGCGTCTCATGGGGTGAATGAACATACTCCAGGATGATGTAGAATCCGCGGTCACTAGCCCAGCCGCAGAGCCGGATCAAGTACTTGACAGCTCCCTACATCCGGTCAGTCATAGTCACACCATAGATCGTAAGAGGACAAACCCTTGGGAAGTGCTCAGAATTCTGGTCAACCAACGACTCATCCAGCCAGTATCCCACGGGAATACGGATGGTGTTGATGCCGTAGGACATCATCTCATCCAAGTCACCCTCGGTGATCCACGTATCCCAATGCTTCTGGAACGCGGCATCAGATCTCTCCTGGCCCGTGTTCATGACGCAGTCGAACTCGGACTGCTGACCACCGCAGCCCATGTTGTTCCACTCATTGTTGGCGATCCATGGCTCGAAGACGAACAGGGAGCCCAGGTTGACGCCCCTGATCTTGCCGGAAGCCGTCCACCAGCGCTTGCTCACGCCGTCAGAGTCATCGGACGTGGTGTTTTGGTTGTCAAAGAGGCTGAAGCCGCGGGTGTCCAAGAGCTTCCTGCTGCCGTCGTTGGGCAGCCATGCGTGGGCGAGCTGCGTGGTGGCAGCGAGTGCCAAAAGACTGAGGCGGACCATGTTGACAATGTTTGGTGGATTGTCAGGCTTGCGATGAGAGGGATGCAGAGACAGAGACAAAGAAGTGTGGGAAGACCGGCGGTCTTAACAAGCTTTTGATGCCTTCCCCGAGTCTTGCGGGCCGCAACGGTAAACCCCAGGATTCGCCAATGGAGTAAGGAGGAAGGAAAACGAGATTATCCCAGGGGCGCAGCACCCGATGCCGTAGCACCAGCTCTTTTCTTGGGGCCTGGACGCTAATGCAAATGTCGATCGTGAGGGCTGAATAGCTCTAGTGTATTTCGTAGCTCTCCTCACGAAAAGGCCCCCTGTAACTTTGCTTTGTCGGCATCGCTTCACCAAATAGCGGGAGTCTTTCAAGTCTATTTCCAGAGAACGCAAGGGTTGACGGCATCGAGCTGCAGGTGTTCGTCCAATCCATCCAATCCGGACCGATTGGCGACCTCGAGAAACCCTGGTTCCTGCATCGAAAGTCGTCGCTGAACCTCGACAGCCGCACGGGCAAGCAGGATGACGGCAGGGAAATTGGCGGCTGCCTGGAGATGGTCGCTGGGTCCCCCAATTGCCCCCATTGCCTCATCAGGCTTTACGACGGGTTGCTGACTGGCTCTTGGCGGCCATTGGGGAGGATCGAAAGTGAGACGGCCGGCCTAGCCCGGGGGCCAAGTTCGATTGACCTCCTTAATAGGGTTTAGCTCCGGCTACCGGCCATGCTCTCAAGATTCAAAGTTCAAGCTCTCGGGTGGTCGACAGGGGTTTCTTAAAGGGCTGCCTGGCACCTGCAGACTGCAATGTAAGGCACGTAGGTTCTTAGTCATCATGCAAGTGTACAGTCAGCAACCGCACTGCTCTTTTTTTGGTGCAGTCTCACAAACGACAAAACTCGACTTATATCCACCACAAAAAACATCGTGAATCCACCAAAACTCCAAAAAACACATACAACACCAGGTATTCGCTGGTCGTCACCGACCCGACTACTAATCCGGCCCTCATTGGCTTATCTATGGGAGAGCGGACGGGATCCCGAGTTTTCCAATGGGTATGGTCGTATGTGCTGGAACGAGGACTGCAAGAGGTTCAAGACGGCACAGGAGCTGTCCTGTGGGCAAGACGGGAAGGCTTACGATGCAAGAGGAGACTATTATTGAACGAAGACGGGCTTTGAGGTAAAATGGGAGGGTTTTGGGGTCTCAATGGCTCAAGTTGGGTACCATATTGGGTATGGCATTTGTAGTGTGAGCTTACTTACGTAGTCATATTACTTTTACGAACTCATCTCTCATACGAGATAACGGTGACGTCTTGGAATACATTCATGATCTTCGAGTCATCCAGGACACAGCAAGATATTTGTAAAGTTGAAAAATCGCGTTAGAAGCCGCTGGTATACTGTGTATCTTGTTCGATCTTACGAATGTAGTGTCCTCAAAGCGCCCGAACGAATGCGAGTGACATTGCGAGAGCAGACCTTCAGCCACCTTCAGTTTCATCTTTCATCTCAATGTGCTTTCATTCAACATTCAGAACCACTAGCTCTTCTTGAAAACTCCTTACTAAGCGAGGATACTAAGCAGCAATTCCCGTGACACATACTGTGGCAACTCACCTCTCAGGCCTCTACGCCCCACAACTTCCCTCAGCATACGTGCCGCACCGGATACGAAAGTAGCCATTATCGATATCATAGTCCTTGGTACTGCTTCTCGCGTCGCGGCAGATAGTACACCGGTTCGCGGGGTTATTGCCATTCTGTACGTTCTGATCGGGGTAGTACACCCGGCCGCCTATGTCCTCGGCGCAGATGCCAATGGCCTCGTCGAGACGGCCCATTGCCCACTTGTCCCACGTGCCGCTCGGGTAGGACCAGAAGTAGGCGCAGTCCTTTGCTATTGCTGCTGCTGCGAGTGCTGAGACGAGCAATGTCGTTGAGTGTCGCATCATGGTAGTTTCCAGATTCGATGGGCTGGCTCAAGAAGGGCTAGGCAGATGTATAGTCGAGGCAGATTGAAGTTAAGAGACACCTTTCGATAAGTGTGCTAGCAAGACTCTGGTGAGATATGTCCTTCACCTGCGAAGAAAGCTATCCTGAGAGTTTATGTATCTCAGCAAAGAACGTTCACCGCGCGTTCCGCGGGTTTGCGTAGCGATATCCGACTGAGATCCAATTTGGCAGCCTCACTGTACCCATATAGATGGGATTTCAAACTCAAATTGATGATAGTCTGTAAGTTGCCAAGAAGAAACGGTAGCTGTTGGTCGAAGCGGACAACGCGATAGCAGGTTTCTAAGATCAGCGAAGGTTACGGAGGCAAGTCAGCCATATTGGAGCAGCCTGGAGCTACAATTAGTAGTCAGAAACACGATGCCGCTCAATTTTGACTGAGGTCATTGTTTGAAGTGATATCCAATATGCATTCGTTTTCAACTATGCTCTTTCGACAGACACATGCGCCTATTGTGCACTTTCATCCTTTTTATTTCCAAAACATGGAAGAAATGGTCAACGCCGAGCGCCCAACACTACATCCAAAACATGACTCAACCACTACTAGCTCGACTTGCAAGCGGCATAGCTGTCAAAGCCGGACGCTTGGTGCCAGGTCGTCAAGTGCTCAATCAAAGTCGGGTCAATGTCGCGGTTGGCCTTGATGAAGATGGTCTCGTACGGGTGCACGTTGGTGCCAAAGTACTTGCCGTTCCAAAGAACATCACCATTCTGCGACGTGTCGCACTCCTCAATGTAATTCTTGGACTTTTGGAACGCCGTCATCATCAGGTCCACCTTGTAACCTTGCTTCAAGAAGGTGCCCGTAGCACCAATCTCTGCATGCACGGCGTGGTTCCAGCCGTCGTAGCAGCCTCCCAGGCCGACAGGGTCGTTCTCGGTGCCGAAGTCATCCTTGACAGAGGAGCCCGGAGGGGGATTGAGGAGCAGATCGATGCCTACGCTGTCGGTGGCCCAGATCATGGACTGGACGTGGAATCGGGGCCAGCAGTTTGCCGTCATGCCGACCAGCTAGCAACCCATATTAGCAGCAGTCACTAGACTTGCGGAACATCGTCGTAGTCTTACCTTGACTTCATCCGTGAGGCGGTCCAGGTACATGTCAGTCCAGCACGACTGCGCCCAGTGAGGCAGGAAGGGACCGCGGATACTAGCGTTCATGGTGATGAATCGCTTGTACTTCTTGTAGAGATCTCCCTTCCGGAGCACCTCGCCGTACGCGCCAAGGTCGAAGCAGGTGTTATCCCGAGCAACAATCTTGATGTTGTCCTTTTCCGGGATGATACTGCTGACGTTGGTCTCGCCGTTGAGAATGAAGATGAAGTCGGCAGCGTCGTGCAGGCCCTGCTTGACGAAGAATTGGAGGTTCTCGCGGCCGGCGTCGGACTCGGCGTAGGCGTAGAGGATTAGGGGACGGCTGCGGTCCTTAGAGCCGGACGATTCTTTCGACGTGGTAGAAGACGAATGCGACTTCAGGGACGTAGAGGCAGACGAGCTCTTGCTCGCGCCCTTGTTAGAGGCTGCGCTTGCGGTCTCCTTCGCTCCCTTGGAAGTCGTTTGTGAAGCTGCCTTGTCTGCCTTGTCTTCGTCGTCCTCGTACCATGGCGGGAGGGAGTACTCTGGCGACTTATCTGGTTTTGAAACATCGTGGGACGGCTTCGAGGACTTGTCGGGCTTCTGCTTATCCGCGGCATTGCTATTGCTGTTCGGGTACTGCGGATGGCCCACAGGATTGGCAGACTGCTGGTCGTGTGTCTGGGGGATCGAGAGTTAGTCCAGAGAGCTGGGAGAGAGACCAGGCAGTGACTCAAGACTCACAACGTGTGTAGGCGTTGTCGACGTTGTCTGGGTAAAGGTCGAGAGCGTCCACAGGAAGAAGAGAAAGATGAGCAGACCAATGAAGGTCTGCCTATTCACTGGAGCCGTCGACATGGCGAATGCTGTCGATGGATGCTGCGGCTCGGAGTCGGCGACTTCTCAAAGATGTGTGCGATGCGATCGATGCGCGCAACTTGGGACCAGAACCAGCTGTGAGCGATGATTATCTTTGCTGGACCAAGGATCGTGAATCACTGCATCAGAGCAAGTTGACAATGACGATGAGCAAGAAAGAGTAATACAGAGCACGACCGGCGAGGTTTGGAGGTGGGAAAGAGTTGAACTTACGTCGGAGACAAGTAAGAAGCTGAGCAAGGGGCCCAAGTCTCAAAATGGACGCCAGGGAGCTGTGTCTGACATCTTGGGTAGTCTGTATAGTGTGGCGTGGCGTCGCCGACTATGGCCAGGGAGGGAGGGGCTAGAATGAAGGGCACCGGGCACGGAGGGTATTGGAGGGCAGCTTTAGGCCAGCTTTCATAGTCGGGACCTGAATTTTAGAGTTTCAAGACTTTGAAATGCTATCCGCCATCGCCTTGGCTGGCGGGTGGTCCAAGTTTCCTTCATGTCACTCTTCACTAACAACTGTCATGGCGAACGAACGACAACTAGCCTGTACGATTAGACGAGAATATTCTGGCAGTTCTGTCTGGGGTAGAGTGTCTGAGCATATCAAAGCTGAGGCTCTGGATGCGGTGGTCCGAGGGATGGATCTGAGATGAGATGCAGGACGACTTGTGTGGACATGGGACACCACCGTCGACCATTCATCGGTCGCCGTACGCCTCCCACATGCGGTTCCGGGTGTCTGGACTCGTAAGGCAGTCCACAGTCCACGCACACTGCAGGGACCAAAGATCGGGCAGTTCCCACAGGGGGACGGGGAAAATCTGTGATGAACGCGGCAACGGGACTCCCCACGCTTCCGGCGCGGTACGTCATTGTGGACGGGGGCAGCCAGGATGGTCATCGAGCGTCACCTCCGACTTATTTCATCAGGCTGGAGAGTTGCTCTGAACAAAGATTGCCTCAGTTCTTCTCATGGTTGAGAACGGACGGAGAGGTGATTACACGTTATCGCAGTCTTTTCTTCTCTCGCTTCTAGACGACTACCGCC